GAGTGAGGGGCACTTCCACTTTTTTGTATAATTATATTTATCGGCATCAACACGTCTTGTTCCTCTGTCCTTCTCCTCTCAATACTTGAAAATGATGATGGAGGAAGATTGCTAAGTTAACAGTTTGAGAACCAGTCGTTGTGTGATTTAAAAAAGAATGATTTCAAAACGTATCAAGGCAAGTAAGTAATATTCTTTATGATAGTATTTTTCCAATTATATATATTCACCTTATCGACATCGACACATCAGGAAAAATATAGCACCTATTTGGAGCATCAAAAAGGAACGCTTTAAACATTCAAGGTTTGTCGCAAGGTAAAAGTAAGTAGAGGAAGTAAAGTGAGGTCGATTTTCTTCGAATTTGTTTGTTGGATTTTTTTGCCAGTGAGGCTTTGTATGAATGAAAACTATTCTATAAATAAAACAAATACTACATATATATGCTTTTAAAGCGAAACAATTGGAAATGATAAATCAAGGGAAAATAGGAGTAATGCAGAAAACGCTTCATATATATTAGAAAAGGGTATCGTGAGGTGTTATGGTGGCGTGCTTCACACTTTCCCATTACTCGCCCAAAATTACTTTGTTCCTATCAAAGAATTTTCCCTACCATGACTTCTCTCCCACTCCCCCTCTCTCTTTCATGTCTAGTTGTATACACAAGTCCTGAATATAATAGTACAGTTATCACCTTTATGGACTTTTCAAGGCTCCAATAAAAACTTATCCTTTCTTCGTGCCGAAAAAAACGTCCTCTTTGTGTTATACTTGTGTATACGCGGATGACGGCACATAACTATTGATACTATTCGGTTTACCATACACGCTAACGTTGGTGTTGAGACCCAGATAGATGTGTCAGCTATTTCACTCTTCCTTGGTAGATAGGCTAAAGAGAAAAGAATGCAGACCCGAGAACATTATGGGACAAAGTTTCTCCATTATGGTCTCTGCGTGAGGTATATCCGGACAGTTAAAGAGCCATATCACAGAGGTGGCTGGCGTCTTCCCTCGATGTAAAAGTTGTTCAAGAAACCAGTTACACAGTTTGCATTGACAGCACCCCTAACTGGTGATCCGATTAGCATCAACCTGGTCCTGTTCCTAATACCAACGGTGTGTCGTTGAAACTCAACGAATCTCGAAGAAGTAGGAAAAGAGGAGGAGAGAAAGCGAGTGATATGTGATTTTTTTTGATTTGCGGATCCCACAGCCACACAGCTGGCACCTAAGAGATCCCTATATCACCATGCGCGGCAGTACGGATGAGAAATGTTCGGTGTCGTTCGTGTTGCAATCCATCGCTTTGACCCTCACCCGCATCAATCCCTTCAGAGCCTCCAGCGATAACTCCCTCTCCGCGGTCACGCTGTTGTCTGCGCTCGGGAGCGGGGGCAACGCGCAGGCCTCGCACCGCCCCCTGCGCGAGATCACAGACTCCTAGCGCACACGGTATTACACATGTGCTACGTTTTCGCCGCCGAGACAAACGCCACGCGGAGTTCGGTGGAGGTACTGAAAGTTATCCACGCATGTAGACAAGATCAAGGGTCCTCCAGCCGGCGAGTGACCCATGCCGCCGCCTGGCGGAACGATAAGGTGCCATAGTATCATATTTCTCCTCACCTATCTCTGCGGTACGAATACGCTCCGTTTTCATGTCGTAAATTGTAGCGGCGGTCGTGCAGAGCACCATAATTAGTGGTAAACTGTTGATAAGATCCTTTTCCGACGGGCGTTGTGCTTTGACAACGCCCCGCCCAAGAGCTGATTAGACAAGTCATTTATGGCATCTGCCGATGTCCTTGTGCATGCGCCAAAGCAATACACATGATCAGTCTGAGTTCATCCGCAAGGAAGTTTTCTACGACACATTGCCTCCGTAGCTGGTGGGGAATAACCAGAGCCACGAAAATATTGAACGTTATGCGACCGATATGCTGCTTGAAAGCCCCTCTGCTGGCTCCGAAGAAGGTATTGCACCCGCGCCAAGACCCTCGTTGAAAGGGGCGGGCCTCGCGAATGCTGCCCCATCTGTTGTTCCTCGAGTGGAATTAAATCTCCAGGGACGGTGTAGTGCTTTCTTTTAGAGCAGTTTGATGAGCAAACAACAAAGGCAGACATTGAAAGAATGACACATGCTCTGAGGTATGTGTTCTTTATGCGCGCTGTTGAGGGCTTCGCGTGGTGTGCGGAACATTTTATGAACGATTAGGCTTGCCCATAAAAGGGCACTGTCGCT